GCAAGCAAAAGTAAGTGTATGAATGTTCATGGAAAAACTTAGTCGTTTGGTCTTGGAAGTGAGAAGACAGTACCTTCACCGGGAAGGTGGTGGGGATGGTTGTTGGTGGGTTATCTAAATGTGATGTCGCCATTTTGGCGTTTTAAAATGAAGATCATGAAATTTTTTTTTAAAACTCTGTCCGGGCCCTAGGCCAGGCTATACGGGTGCTTCCCTGGTCCAAGTTTTGTGCTGGTGGTTGTAACCCCTTTCACCAGCTGGTTGCTGGCACTGGTGAAGTTAATTGTCCAGTTTCATCTTGAAGACTTCCACCCTTGTCTCAGTAGTGTTTCTTATCTTGTGCTAAGATATTGAATAATACAGTACATTATATACTGTACTATATTAGATTGCAAGTGGGACCAAGGCTGTAATCCTGTGATGGGGTCTACCAGGTCGTTTTTCAGTTGATTTAACTTCATTACTGGTCTTAGGGATTGAATATTAAATTGTAGTCATTGTTGGGGATTATGGTATAGAATATAAAATGTAAGAAAAGAGAGTACTGTTAAGAAGTACAGTATGTACAGCTGCCACCACAACCTTGTACACATGGAAAGATGAACAGGTACCCAAAGAGTACATAAATGGAAGAAATACAAGAAAATAAATTACAGGAGGTAATTTTGATGCATCTTGTGTTTTGACATCCTTTTTTCTCTTAGCCATGTTCTACTTGAATATTGAAAACAGTGTCCTGGTGGTTAGGCATTGAGTTTCTTCCTGTGTTAGCTCCCACTGGTGAATCTTTCACAATGCTTATTAAGATTCCTTGAGAGTTGATATACTAGACCCTCTTCCCATAGGTTTCTGGATCTGTTTATAAATTTTAAACGGCATAATGCTGTTAAATCCTGCAGAATTTCAAAGCTTGGAATGAGATTAATTTCAAAATACTGTATATAGCTATTTAAAATTGCCATTTTATTTCTTCATATGTAAAATTCAAGAGTTACTGTATTACAGTGGTGATGGATTGCATTCTAGTGGATGTCTGTGTGTATCTTCTGGTAATATGGTGCTTATTTGCTGTGACTATAGTGTCATACTGAACTACTGAATATTTGCTTAATCTTTATTTTCTGACAGAATCAGCAATGTTGTGGGTAGTATCACGGTAAATGGCCGTGAACGTAATCTGCGAAAATTCCGCAAGATGTCTTGCTACATCATGCAAGACGACCACCTCCATCCTCATCTCACTGTTAGTGAGTCGATGAGTATTTCTGCCAACCTAAAGTTAGGTGATAGAATGAAAAGACAAGAAAAGGAGGAAGTGGTAAGATTTAAGCAGACTCATATTAATGCAGTATTTTTTAATTTGTATCTAAATTTCATTGTTTGCTAGAATAATTCCAGCACATAAAGGGGTAATAATTTTAATGAACTCCCTCTTTCAAATTTTGTCTAGGTTATTTCATTATTCAAATGTATTATTTGGTTGGTTATGTGCAGCTTCCAAATTACAATCTTAAAATTTAAACAAAATCCTGTAGACTATCTGGAACAGTAATATACTTTCAAAATAATCTAATTTTTTCATTGGAAAGCACTAAACTTGAAAAGTTCCTATAATGCTTAGGGGATGGGAGATAATCAAGTTTGATTCCAGGAAGAGAAGAGTAGCTCAAATTCTTTGGCTTGAGTAGTTTACCAGGATCAAAGAACCTCAGCTTTTGAAGGGCTGGTGAAGTTTACTCGTTACCATTTTCATTATCCTGGTTCTTAGATAAACATTCCAAACATTGGTCACTCCTGTAGACATTCAGTGTGCTCCAACAGGAATTTCCTTGGAGATATGACAAAGAGTTTATAATTCCTGCAGACAGTGCTCTTAATTTACTATTAAATTAAAAATTAAAAAAAAATGCATTATGTAGTACATAAATATAATAGATTGCACAGAATTAGACTAGGAGTAAAATTTCTTGATACTAAGAAATATAGATGTGGAGTTCTCTAAGTCTAACACCATTAAAAATGATTATAATAACCATAATTTTTAAAGGAGTGGACTGGTAAGCCAGTGAAAGGCCTCAGTCAATGACCAAAAGCTCCAGTGGCAGGTCGTCATGTGACTGAGACCTGCATCAGGAAACAATTGTCCTGTTTCTTGACAAACCTTACCTAACCTAGCTTGTCTAACATAATGCATAAAACAAAAATAAATAACTATATTTAAAGATTATTCGGTAAAATTAAAGGATAATTAGTAAATTAGAGAAGAATGAATGATGGTTATTGAAATTAAAATAACTTTGTTTTAGAGGAGATAAATGGTGTAATGTGATTTGATTCATTATATGCACATGCACAACTTTCTTTTTTGTTTGTACTCTACAATTCTTTGCCTGAGCTGTTCCACCATTTTGGGCCTTTTATTTCATTGACAAGGACTAGAGCTAGGACTAATGCTAAAAGTAAAAATGCCAAATATACTGGACATTGTATACAAAGATACATACTATATTGACACAAATTTTAGTGTAAATTGAGCATTTAGTGGAAGGTATTAAACACATACACTGGACCCCCGGATTTCGTTCGGTATGGAAGTCATACAATTCGGATTTTGACCCCTTATTTTTGGCAAAATTTTACCCTGGGTTTCATACATCCCGCTCGGAAATCATCTGTACCAGACGCATCCACCTGGGAAACTCATACGTTTGTGACTCGCTCTTGGGCACATTGAATTTCTTATTTTACGTTAATATAGACATTTTCGTTAATCCATCTATGATATTTTCTTCAAAATTACATAAGAAATGTGTTACATAGCATATAAACATGCAATGTTTTTACACTATGGAGGGGTGGGAGTCGGTGGAGGGAAAACATTTCGTTTTCTCTAGTGCAGCATTAGAGAAAACTTGTACGAGTCTGTGTTGGCCCAGTCACCGCCCATAATACATAACGCTTTTGTTTACAATTCTCAGCGTGAATTATTCATTACTTCTCCCTTGGTTTGTGATGGCATCTAAAGGTAGTTAAAAGCAATTAAACTCGGTGAACATGGTATGTCGGTGGTAATAATATGGCTCTGGGCCACAGTGTAGGTAGCCAGTAGGTGTAGCCCAGGTGGGCTACACCTACTGGCTACTTACACTGACTTCCTACAAATAAATACTACTCACCTTTCACCCTACATTAAGACTACAAATATTTTAAGGTAAATAATGAATGTACTGTGTATGCATTTTACTTTTTATTGTGTTGTTTAATGCCTAGTTTTATTACTAAGTTAATTTATTTTTGGTTAATATTTTTGGGTGTCTGGAATGGCTTAATTGGATTTACATTATTTTTTATGGGAAATATTACTTTGGTTTTCGTCCATTTCGGATTTCGACCGACCTTCTGGAATGGATTAAGGATGAAAACTGGGTGTCCACTGTAGTGCTTTATTATTTTAAAATTAAAGTTTGACGTTTCGTCATATTATATATGTATATTTATGTTAACTTCGTTATTTAGGTTTTCAGCATGTCAGTCCCTGACTTTTTTTTTTTTTTTTTTTTTTTTTTTTTTTACAGATTAATGAAATCTTGGAAACACTAAGCTTAACAGAATGCAAAGACACAAGAGCGAGTAATCTGTCTGGTGGGCAGCGCAAGAGGCTGTCTATTGCATTGGAGCTTGTGAATAATCCTCCAGTGATGTTCTTTGATGAACCAACTAGGTAAAAACTATTTCTTATAGACTTAATTTTTAAGTGTTTAAATTGTAGGACTAGTGACTACAAAATGAATGACCTAGCAACTTGAAGACTTGAAAGCACATAAAATGAGGTTTAATTGAGACTTTTGCCACTTTGACACAAGAAAGGAGGCAGCTCTTGACAAATTAGTGACAGCAGCATGGAAGAATTTAAGATGAACAGTGTCATGCATGATCATTAAAGAATGTGTAGTGATTGAAAGTAAATGGTCTTAGTACAGCCTCAACTCACTTAATGATGGAGTTCTGTTCCTAAGGCCTCGCTGGTAAATGAATTCGTCGCTAAGTGATGAGCATACTATAATGGTAGTAGGTTTGTGTCAACTATTTTTGATATTGTTTCAATGTCACCTTTGCACCATTTATAACATTTCTGGTATATTTTTAAATGTTTGTACAGTAGTGTACTGTATATTGTAGTAAGCAGGATAGAGAAAATCACCTCTAGCATACATTTAGGCATGCATTATGGTCAGGCCTTGTCGTAAGTTGCCACAGGCATCGGTAAACGGAGTGTCGCTAAGTGAGGAGAAGGCTGTTTACATGAGTTTACCTGGAGAGAGTGTCCGGGGGTCAACGGCCCCCGCGGCCCGGTCTGTGACCAGGCCTCTGGTGATCAGAGCCTGATCAAAACCAGGCTGTTAATGCTGGCTGCATGCAAACCAACATACGAGCCACAGCCCGGCCTGGTCAGGAAACCGACCTTTAGGTAGCTTGTCCAGTGCAGCTTAGAAAGATGCCTGGGTCTGTTGTAATCTCCTTATGTATGCAGGGAGGCAGATTGAACAGGTCTCGGGTCACCTGACACCTTATTGTATGGTCTCTTACGTGCTAGTGACACCCTGCTTTTCATTGGGGGGATGTAACATTGTCGGCTCCAGTCTTTTGCTTTGTTACGTGAGTGATTTCCGTGTGCAAGTTCGGTACTTGTCCCTCTCGGATTTTTCCAGTGTAATATCATTACATGTATCTCTCTGCTGCATTTCAGGGAATACAGGTTCAGGAACCTCAAGCACTCCCAGTAATTTAGGTGTTTTATCTCGTTTATGCGTGCAGTGAATGTTCTCTGTACATTTTCTTAGACCAGCAATTTCACGCATAAAAGGTGTGCTGTTTAGAGTGCAGTAATATTCAGCTAGTAAAACAAGTGACCTGAAGAGTGCCATCTTCGGGACTTGGCTATCCCCTAGTTTTCAAGGTTCTCATTATCCATCCTGTCATTTTATAGGGATGCGATTGATACAATGTTATGGTCCTTGAAAGGCGAGATCCTCCGACCATGATCACTCCCGGTCTTTGACGGTTGGTGTTCGCGTTATTTTGTGGCCAGTATTCTTGTACTCTGATGAAGATTTAATTTCTAATTTCCTCGTGTTTACAATATCTGAGTAATTAAATTTCTCATGTTGAACTTCATATTGTTTTCTGCAGCCCACTGAAAGATTTGGTTGATGTCCGCCTGGAGCCTTGCAGTGTCGCAATGAAAGACACTGTCATGCAGTTTCGGGTGCCCATCTGCAAAGGAAGACACGGTGCTGTGGCTGACATCCTGTCTGTGTCAGATTATGAGGATGAGGAACAAGATGGGAGCGAGTACTGTCCCTTGTGAACAGAGCTTTTCACCAAGCTGCCTCGGACTTTACTCTGTTGATACTACTGTGTTCTGTTAGTGAGGAAATTATGATCCATCGACCGACTTTTCCTGTTATTCCTTTAGCACGCATTTTGTGCGCTATTACGTCATGTCACACTTGTCGAAGGCTTTTGCAAAGTCTGTATATATTACATCTGCATTCTTTTTGTCTTCTAGTGCATCTAGGACCTTGTCGTAGTGATCGAATAGTTGAGACAGACAGGAGCGACCTGTTCTAAACCCATGGGTGGTGATCTTGCTTCTTGGGGCCCCTTTCCCAAAGTTTTTTTATGATAGGGGAATGTTAGTGCTATCGGTCTGTAGTTCTTTGCTATTTCTTTACTGCCCCTTTTGTGGAGTGGGGCTGTCTGTTGTTTTTAGTAACTGTGGGGATGACCCCCGTGTCCATGCTCCCTCTCCATGGGATGGAAAAGGCTCGTGATAGGGGCTTCTTGCAGTTCTGATGAACACGGATTTTCCACGAGTCTGGCCCTGGGGCCGAGTACAGGGGCATGTCATTTGTCGCCTGTCCGAAGTCATTTTGGCATCAGGATAACATCAATAGGCTTGTGTTAACAAATTCTGTGGCGCTCTCATGAAAAATTCATTTTGTCTTCGACTCTGTCTGGTTAGCGGCTTGCTAAAAAAATGAGTCATACTGGGACTTGAGTAGCTCATCATTTTCCTTGCTGTCATCTGTGTAGGACCCATCTGTATGTACAACTCTTTAAAATTTCAAGAGAAGTCATTGTAACTTGGGCAACTGGGTGGTAGTTGTAATGCAGTATGTACATTATTATTATTATTATTATATTATTATTCTTATTTTATTATTATTATTTTTATTTTTTATTTCTATACAGTGGTCTGGACAGTAGTAGCAGTTTCAAATGCATCAACTTGCTCAAGACTTTAGCACAAGGAGGCCGCACTTCATATGCACCATCCATCAGCCTTCTGCTAAGCTGTTTGAAAAATTTTAAAAATCCCTTTTCGCCCTAGCAGGGGGGACATGAATCTACCGTGGAGCTTCCTTGGGCTCATTCCTTTTCTGTCGCAAGGGCTTTTGAGTCCCCCTTTTCTTACCACAACCCTGCTGATTTCTGTAATTTAAAAATTCGGGGAGGGAAATTTTTTAAATTTTTAATTATAAAATTTTTTCTTTAAAAGGGTTTGCATGGTATTTAATGTCAGTAAATATGTGTTATGGTACTGGAAAAAAAAAATTTTCTTTTACTGTAAATACTGAAAACAAGATGGCAAATTAAGGGGTTTTTTTAAATCATTCAATACAAATTTCAGACTTAAAAAATGGCGGGTTGTTTACGTATAATAAAAAAATTTTTGGAAGAAAGATCAAAAGAAGATGCTGTAATTTTGGATTGTTCATGGGTTTTGGTTTAAAAGTTAGTCCAGAATTTAAAATTTCCCTGAAAATCCTTTGGGGAAAAATTTTAAGGAAGGAATCAAAATAAAACATTAAAGAAATTGAAGCCGGGTTTGGCTCACCATTTCCCCATTGCCCTTTATAACAAGGGTTACAAAACCCAGCTGACCCTACCCAGTACCCCCCATGGTTCCATCGGGAAAACCCAAAATTTTAAACATTCCCCAAAGGGTAGCCCTTCCCCAAGTGTTTGGGGCCCAACATTTGTGCACTTTTTTTTTTGGTTAAAACCTTTAAAAATTTTTGGTTACTTATAAGGGAAACCTCCTGAGCAACTCTGTTTTCCCCGGGGGCAGTGGGTAGCTCCTCCCAGCCTGGATGCACAACAAAAATGGGAGGGAGCCAAGCACTCAAATGCTTTTAAAATTCCCCAAAAAACAACAAAACATCACTATGGCCCCCACCTTAATACTTTTTTAGGAAATTTTCCATCAGGTAATTTAGATGCTCACTCTGGCAGACATGTTGACACAGTTAACCCCAAAACTGTCTCTTTAAAGTGACCCTTTAGAGCACTTCTTCTGAGAATTAATCCAACTTGCAGGAAACTCTTTCTGCCTGCACAAAAAAGAACTAACTCACTTGGTTATGGAGACTATTTAGCTAAAAAAACTCCCGTTTTTTACCCCAAACAAACTAGACTTCTATGGCCTTCTGAATTCAAAATCCAATTTTACACAAGGCCCGATTTTTGTAAATTTTTGCTTTCAAACCCCCCCTCACCCAAAGCTCAAATTCTTACGTTTCCCCCGGGTTTCCCTTGGCCAACAAAAGGGGGAAAAGTGGGGATTTTTTCTTTCTAAGGGGGACTGGGAAGAGAGGGAAAAGGGAAACCCCTTCCCGTGAAACCAGGTGGTATTTTTGAAAAACAGTGGGGCCTTGTGGGTTTGGGTCTCCCCAGGAGCTCTTTACTTCAAACTGTTAGTCCAAGGGAAAACGTAAAAGTTTCTGCAAGCCCCCAGTCTTGACCCTTTGGGTTTTGTGAGGGGTTAGCTATCTAATTTTAACCCCAATTTTTTTTTTTTTTTCTCAAAAAGTCGGCCCCTCTCCCCCCGGGGGCAGGGGTGGCCCAAAAGAAAGAAAATCCCCCAAAAAGGGAAAAAGCTTTCATCATTCAACAAATTTTTAGCTAAATCGCACATAATCAATGTTTTTTTCAGAGGTGCTCGAACACGCAGTTTTGAAGATATTCGTATAAAAGATAACGGGATATCCCTCCAAACTGCCCAATATCCCGAAACCCCCCCTTAGAGTTTCAGGCATTTTTACTTCCCCTTTTCCCGGACTCGAGTCCGGCTATATGAAAAAAAAACCGGTTTCCCCGAATCCCTTCACTAAATATTTTCCCTGCTCACACTCCCAACCGATCGGGAAAGGGCCCCCAAAAACCATTCGTCTCCATTCATTCCTATCGAACAGTCGTGCAGCCCCCTGGAAGTCCAAGCCCCTCGCCCCCAAAAAACCCCCCTTACCCCCCTTCCCTTTCCAAATTTTTTTGAGGCGAACCCCATTCCATTCCTTTTTACAGATTTAAATGCTTCCAAAGTCAAATTTTTATTTGATTTATTCTTTCTAAATGACCCCAAAACCCCCCTCAAACAAAACCCCCTTCAAAACCCCCTGGGCTAATATTTTATTAACTCCCACCCCTAATTTTCCCCACTCCGAATTTTCTGCATTAAAATTTACACCACACAGGGCCCCTTTGACCCGG